TTATTCTTTTGAGGTTCTTTGCTTTCCTTAATTTTCTGGAGTCCTTGGCTTTTAATTATTTTATGACTCCAAAATTTTCTTTCTGATGTATTTTTTGTTTGTTTTAGACCAGTATTATATTAAATAAAATTAAAGTGAAGGCAATAAACAAAATGAAATTTTGTAGCATAAAATAGACGCTTATGAATAAATTTAACAAAAAATTTGCAAGACTACTGAAAACTATAAAACATTGCTGACAGAAATTGAATATCTAAATAAATGTAGAGACATAACAGTTCATAGATTGACAGACTCAATATTGTTAAGATGTCCATTCTTCTCAAAGTAATCTATAAATTCAAGGATGTCCCAGTCAAAATCCCAGCAGTTTTTTTTTTGTGAAAGTTTACAAGTTGATTCTACAATGTATATGAGATGCCCCCAGGACAGTCGGCAGAGCTCCCGAAGCCTCACAACATGCAGGGCACCCTTCATGGACCACTTCGCTTGTTCTGATACTTCTTCAGATGCCAAAAGATGTTTCTCAAGGAAATGGTAACTAAATTTTGTATGGCTTTTTATAGTTCAAACAGCAATGACTTGGTTTTCTTTGATCCACACAACAAATGGTGAAGCCGGGATCCCTGTTTCACAGATGAGAAAACCGGGGTTCAGAGAAGTGAGGTGAGGTGACTTGCTGAAGATATGTGAGAAAGCCAAAGTTCCAGTTAAAAATTTCTGACTCTAAAATTTGCTTTCACATCACCACCTCTTCTTCCTTCTTCTTTAAAGCTTACAGATAAGTCTTTTTGAGAACATAAGCTGGGTCTTGCTCTGTGTTGCCCAGGTAGTACCTTAGCAGTGCCTCTCTCAATAAATCAAAGCATTCCTAGGCCTGGTTTTCACATCTCACTCTCTTCCCTGAGGGGACTCTGAGAAGACATATGAAGTCCAGTTGTGTGGTTTTTTTTTTTGTTTTGTTTTCCCCATAAATAAAGGAAAATGAAATCAAAGAAGAAAAGTATATGGAAATGCAAAGACTTAGACTAGGCAAAACAATTTTGAAAAAGAATGATGTATAGGATTTAAACTTAGTTTATAGTAAGTTTCAAGACTTACTATAAAACTATAGTAATAAAATGTATTAGTGCAAAGTTAGACATGTAAATCAAGGGAACAGTATAGTCCCAACAGTAGATATCTATATAGGGTCATTTGATTTCCTTCAAAGATGCCTATGTAATTCAGTGGAAGAAGATAGACTTTTTAAAAGCATTGCTAGAACAACTGAATATCTGTAAATAAATGAACCTTGATCCTTAACTGATACAAGTTCAACAGAGATCATAGAGTTAAACATGTAAGCTAAAACTATAAAACTTAAAGAAGAAAACATAGAAAATCTTTGCAACCTTAGGATAGGAAAGGATGCCTTAAGATACAGGAAGCACAAACCATAAAAGAAAAAAATTACTAATTGTACTTTTTAAACACCAAAAGAGTTTGCTTTTAAAAAGACACCATAAAAAATAAATAAAAGGCAAGCCACTGACTAGAAGAAAATCTTCTTAACACATTTATCTAGCAAAGGACTTGTAGCCAGATATATAAAGAACTCTTAAAATAAACACTTTATGAAAGAAGATATATGTGAATCACTAATAAATCCCATGAAAATATGCTGAACATCATAAGTCATTGGAGGAATGCAAATTAAAATCACAAAAATGGCTATGGAATGTGCTAAATAGAATGGCAAAAATAAAAAGACAATACCTTGTGTTTGTGATAATACAGAGCAACTGGAACTCATGCATTGCTTGTGGGCATGGAAAATAGAAAAGTTAGGGAAACCATTTGGCAATTTCTTGTAAAGTTAAGTATACATTTATCATATTGCTCAGCAATTCCACTTCTGTGTATTTTCCTGAGAAAAATGAAAACATATATCCTCATAGACTTCCATTGGAATCTTCATAGAAGCTTTATTCATAATAGCCAAAAACAAGTCAAATGTCTACCAGTAGATTAATGTATAAACTGTAGTAGTTCATAAAATGGAATACTACTTGACAATAAAAAGTAAGAAACTGCCAGTGCAGATGACAATATGAATGATTAACGGACATACCGAGCAAAAGAAGCCAAACACAAAAGAGAATACTGTATGATTGTATGATTTTCTAGAAGAGGCAGAAATTAGATCAGTGGTTGCTTGGGTTAGGATGGGAGGTAGAGATAGACTGTGAAGCATGAACTTTGAGGAGATAGGAATGTTATGTATCTGGAGTAGTGGCTACATGGGAGTATATATTTTGTTAAAAGTCATTGATCTGTACAATTAAAATCTGTTACTTTCATTATATGTAAATAATGCCTCAAAGTTTTGTTTTGTTTTTTTAAAGCACTTTTAATAGCTAGAAACCTACAGGTTGATCTAAGGTTTTTTTTCTTTTAGTAGTTAAATCAATGTGGCTATGATAAATTTATACAGATTATACAATAATAGCCTGTGCCTCCCCACTAGAATTAATTTTTTCTTAGTACATAACACTAAGGAATCACCAGAAAGGAGATTAATTGTGATGCTAGGAAACCAGGAATGCTCCTCTGTGGCATCATTTGAGGTGTGTCCTGATTCCTCTCCTGCAAAAGCTCCTTGAAGATAGAAACACGTTGGGTTCATCCTTGGATCCTTCACCATGCTTTGTGCAGTATCAAGCACATAACGGTTTTGGAGAAATGTTTATTTGAATCATTTTAAGTCAAATCAAGGAGCTCTGGTGGTACAGTGGCTGGGGCATTCAGCTGCTAAACAAAAGGTCTATGGTTCAGACCACCAGCCGCTCTGTGGGAGAAATATGAGGCAGTCTGCTTCTGTAAAGATTCATACTGTAGAAGCACTATATAGCAGTTTTGCCCTGTCTTTACAAGGTTGCTGTGAGTTTGGAATCAACTCAGTGGCAGTGGGTTTAGTTTTTTGGTTAAAGTAACTGCTTTTGTTGTTGCTGTTAGGTGCCATCGTGTTGTCTCTGACTCATAGTGACCCTGTGCACAGCAGAACATAACACTGCCCGGTCTAGAACTGCTTTTAAAGACTCTTAAATTTGTTGGTCAGAAAATGAGATTGGACTAGATTGTTTCTAAAATGACTTCTGGTTCTCAATATGTATCCTTAATTATTAGTAAGCCTTTGGCAAAGACTTCCTTAGAGCCAGGTGCCTATTGTTTACAGTTTCTTCGCAATGAAACAAAATCCTTTCCTGAATGGCTAAGGTGTCAGTGTGATGAATTATAGAACTTGCCTACTCTGCCTGAATTGCACGTCCTTGAAGACTGACATCTTTAGAGCTAAGAGTTTATTTTTAGAAAAGTTTATTTTGTGGTATTATTAAGGTTTGAGAGAAAACTGTTTCAGCAACTGAGCATCACAGTGTATAAGGTCAACTTTATCATTGGCTTAATGTTTCCATTTTGATTGAATTTTAATTCCAGTTTTTTTGTTGTTGTTATGTGCCACGGAGTCGGACTCGACTCATGGCGACCCCTCCTTGGGTTTCCAAGGTGGTATCACTATGGAAGTAGATTGCCCAACCTTCCTTCCGAGGAATGGCTGGTGGGTTTGAACCACCAGCCTTCTGGTTAGCAGTCAAGTGCCTTACGTACTACACTACCAGAGCTCCTATTTCAGTTTTAGATACCCCATTTAATATTGTTGGCTATTAAATTTCTAGTTTTTCCTTTTCAGTTTTTAAATTATTAAGATTTCACTCAGTTATTTCTAAATATCCATAGGCATTCAGTCCTCTCTTTTAAACACTTGCAGACTTGAAGATCTAACAGTGGGCTTCAGTTTTATTTAACATGAATTAATATTTCTTTAGGAGCTCTGGTGGCGTAGTACCTAAGGCATTTGACTGCTAACCAGAAGGCTGGTGGTTCAAACCCACTAGCCACTCCTCAGAAGGAAGATTTGACAATCTACTTCTGTAGTGATACTGCTTCAGAAACCCAAAGAGGGGTCGCTGTGAGTCAGATTCTACTCGATAGCAGTGAGTTTGGCTTTTTTTGGTTTAATATTTCTTTAGGAAAGTGCTAAAGGGGCAGGGAGGCGGCATCTCCTGGCCTTCTTCAACTATACAAGAGGAGGACAGAATCACCATCAGCAGCCCAATGCCTGCTCCTGTGAGTCCAGACATGCCACCACCCTCCAGCGCTCTTGCTAACCTTGACACTAACAGTTCCTCCCATGGCACCCACCACCTTCCGGCTGGGTTCAATAATTCTCTGCAGTGGCCACACACAACTCACAGACACCACTCACAGATTATGGGGGTTTATTAGGGAAGCAACAGGCTACAACTCAAATTAGGAACATGCTCAGTGTTCAGTTCCTCATTCAGGACAGTCTCCCGTCTGCCATGCCCTTAGAGACGCCTCCGCCACAGAGGCATGTTTTGGCTTTTCGGCTTGGCCTTTGCCCTTGTGGGCCAGATAAATCTGCCGCTCTGTCTCGTGCCTCTTGGTTCCACTGTTGCTGCCTCTCAGCTGGGGGTCTCTCTTTGAGTAACAGTTGGACTCTCAGCCAGCAATGAGAGCTATTCTTGCTCTCTGCGGCTAGGAAGGCTCACTTTAAGCCCGGCAGAGTGGCAAAACCAACCAATCCCAACACCAGAATTCCATGTACCTGAGAGAGAGCGAACTTCCCAGAAAATTGCATCATGCTGTTCTCAACAGAAAATACCACAGGTAGAATTTTAACAATCAAGAGCTACTCAGTTGCTCACAGCAAATTCCACCACTGGGTTTACAAATACTTAGGGCTAGAAAAGCCACACTATGTGGGACAACGTAAGTAATTTTAAAAATTACTTGGTGTAGCCTTAAAATAAATAAATTCTGGCCATATTTTTGTCTTTAGAAATTTAAGTTTCTTAATTATTTTCACCAAAGATCTTGAATTACAGGTTAGTATTTGAGATAATAAGAAAATAAAATTTCTTTTTCTAAAATTTTAGGGTAACACCTGCTTGGAGAATGGATCTTTCTTGCTGAACTTCACAGGCTGTGCTGTGTGCAGTAAACGGGATTTTATGATGATCACAAACAAATCCTTCAGAGAGGAAGATGGAGAAGAAATAGTTACCTATGATCGTAAGTAGACTTTTTTTTTTTTTTTTTTTTTTTACCTTGATGTACACTTGTGGTAATTGACCTACATCTATTTATTTATATGTTGTGCAAAGTATTCTGAGGCCTATTTCAATATCATATTGCACCATTTAGTTATTAGTTAGGTTTTTAAGAGGAAAATAAATAACACACTGATCTAGTGTCGTCAGATATTGCTAGATAAATAACTTACAGATTACTAAATCTTAATGCTTCTGGCACTGGTTTTTGTGTTTATTAAATTATTTTTCAGGGACATATTTTTTGTGCCTTTATGCCTTCTTAAACAAGATGTAGAGATTGTCTTTTAGGTTACCTTAGGGTCCATCGGGGCTTCTTGCTTCTATACTAAATGACCCCAGAGTGCCATATTTAAAGGAGCCCTGGTGGTGCAATGGTTAAGTCCTTGGCTGTTAACCAAAAGGTCAGTGGTTTGAACTCCACCAGCTACTCTGCAGGAGAAAACACATTCTTCCCTAAAGATTACAGCCTGGGAAACCCTATGGGGCAGTTCTGCTCTGTCATATAGGGTCTCTGTAAATCAAAATTGATTTGACAGCCTGCAACAACAATTTAGTTCTTATTTTCATTTTTATAGCTCTTTTATGTCTCCTAAATTTACTGCCTAATTCCTACATATGCCTAATTGCCACCGAGTTGATTCTGACTCATAGCGGCCCCCTTTAGTTTTCTGAGGTGGTAAATCTTTACAGAAATAGATTGCCGAGTCTTCCTTCTGTGGAGTGGCTAGTGGGTTTGAACCACCAGTCTTCTGGTTAGCACTCAGTTGCCTTAGACACTGTGCTACCAGGGCTCCTTAAGCACTCAATAAATTATAGGTACTATGTTGTTTTTATTATAAAAACCAAAACCAGATTCACTGCCATAGAATCAATTCCAACTCATAGCGACCTCTATTGGATTTCCAAGGCAGTAAATCTTTACGGAAGTAGATTGCCCAGCCTTCCTTCCATGGAGTGGCTGGGGTTTGAACCGCTAACCTTCTGGTTAGCAGTCAGATGCCTTAGGCATTGCACTACCAGAGCTCTTGTTTTTATTGTAGTCATTTGTTACATTAAATTCACTTTAAATATGTAGAGTAAATTGAATTTGTTCACCATTGGTTTTTCATTTATGATGGGTTATAGTGGCACATTTTCTGTCACTTCTGAGACTGAAACTTTTTATAGATAGGGCCAGCTAGTTTTAAAAATAAATATATGCTAATTGATTACCTTAGAGAGCTTTTGATGAAAATTATATGCACATTAAGTCTCTGAGTTCAGCCACTTAATTATGTTATATACTATGTGACAGATTCTGGATTTCTTATCAAGGTAGATATTATAATGGATTTCCTGCTGTGTTAAATATGACAAATAGAGTTAAGATTCTTGTTAAGTACCACCCTACTGAGAATAGAAATTTTACTGTTTTAAGAGACCTTTCAAGACTTAATTATGTAAGTCTCTCTTTTTTGCAGATCTGTGTAAGAATTGTCATCACGTAGTTGCCAGACATGAATATACATTCAGTATCATGGATGAATTTCAGGTAAATGTATGAAAATGGGTATGTGATTGGGGTGATAATAAAAGTAGCATTGAACACCTAGGTATAGTTTTCATAAAGGAGGTACTAGCAAATATTAAAGGAGACCATACCTCCTGTCTACCTATGTAAGTTGAGAGGGAAGCTTAAATGTGTGTGGATCTCTGTGCTCCTGCCTTTATAAGAGTCACAAATGAAAGTGTAGGTCTTACAAATGAGATCTCGGTCCTGTCATTTTTGTTTGTAAAGAACAGCACTTTGTGGTTTTCTCATGAGGCATATGATCTAGAACCAATGGTACTGAAGGAGGAAGTTGAAGCTGCAGTGAAGGAATTGGCGAAGAACAAGGCTCCGGGAATTGACGGAATACCCATTGAGATATTTCAACAAATGGATGCCATACTAGAGGGAGGCACTTGGTTATGCCAAGAGATTTGGAAGATAGCTACCTGGCCAACTGACTGGAAGAGATCTATATTTGTACCCATACCAAAGAAAGGTGATCCCACAAAATGTGGAAATTATTGAACAATATCGTTAATACCACACGCAAGCAAGATCTTACTGAAAATAATTCAAAAATGGTTGCAGCAGTATATTGATAGAGAACTTCCAGAGGTGCAAGCTGGATTCAGAAGAGGATGTGGAACAAGGGATATCATAGCTGCTGTCAGATGGATCTTGGCTCAAGGAAAAGAATACCAGAAAGATGTTTACTTGTGTTTTATTGACTATGCAAAGGCATTTGATTGTGTGGATCATGACAAATTATGGATAACATTGAGAAGAATGGGAATTCCCGAGCACTTGATTGTACTCATGAGGAACCTGTACCTTGACCAGGAGGCTGTCATTCGAATGGAACAAGGGGACACTGCGTGGTTTAAAATCAGGAAGGGAGTGTGTCAGGGTTGTATCTTTTCCCCATAGTTACTCAATCTATATGCTGAGCAAATAATCTGAGAAGCTGGACTATATGAAGAAAAACATGGCATCAGGATTGGAGGAAGAATCAGTAACAACCTGAGATATGCTGAAGATACAACTTTGCTTGCTGAAAGTGAGGATGACTTGAGGTACTTACTGATGAAGATTGAGGAACATAGTCTGCAGTATGGATTACATCTCAATATAAAGAAAACAAAAATCCTCACAACTGGACCAATAAGCAGCATCACGATAAATGGAGAAAAGATTGAGGTTGTCAAAGAGTTCACATTCCTTGGTTCTACAGTTGACACCAATGGAAGCAGCAGTCAGGACATTAGATGACGTGTAGCACTGGGCAGGTTGGCTGCAAAGGAACTGTTTCAAGTGCTGAGGAGCAAGGATGTCTCCTTGAGGACTAAGGTGCATCTGATACAGGCCATAATATTTCCAGTCACCTTGTATGCATGTGAGAGCTGGGCAATGAATAAGGAAGACCAAAGAAGAGTTGTTGCTTTTGAGTTGTCGTACTGGCAAAGAATGCCGAAGGTACCATGGACTGCCAAAAGAACTAACAGATCTGTCCTGGAGGAAGTGCAGCCAAGATGCTCCTTGGAAGCAAGGATGGTCAGACTTCATCTCACCTACTCTGGTCATGTTGTCAGAGGGGACCATTCCCTGGAGAAGGATGTCATGCTTGGTAAGGTGGAGGGTAGGCAAAAGAGGGGAAAGCTTTTGACAAGATGGATTGACAGGGTGGCTACAACAATGGGCTCAAGTATAGCAAGGATCATGGAGCTGGTGTGGGATCGGGTGGTGTTTCGTTCTGCTGTGCATGGGGACACTATGAGTCGGGAATGACTTGAAGGCACCTAACAACAACAACATGAAGTTACTGTTGTGCCCCTTTGTCCTCTGCCTGGTTATATGATTGGACAGTAATTGGCATTAATTGTTGGCCTGTCCACTACTACCGTACTTGGTGGACATGGAAATTTGATAAAGAGGTTATCTTTGTATCCCCTTGCAGCAGGTAGAGTTGAGCAACTCAGCAATCTCAGACATGGTAAGATATTCTAATATTATATGTTAAGTTAAGTGACAAGATAGATACATCAAGTTTGGAAGAAAGAACTTGAACTACTATGAGGACAGAGAATAAGGAATTTATTCAAAGGTTTGGTCTTTCTGTAATTGTGAAAGCATGTGAAGAATTCTGTGGAAAGCTGGTGTTGGCCTGAAGTTGAAGGTTCACAATTCTGATGGTCAGGAAGAAAAGCTAGACAGTAGGAGAGAGCCAAAGACAAACTACAACCCACAGCCAGAATCTGTGTCTGTTTCTCACAGCCTCCATTTTCAGGTCTTCAAATTGAGTTATTTAGCGTGAACTACATATTCAGCCATAGGATATAAATATCAGCTAAGAGCTCTCAAAGGCAAGGGGATTCTTTTTAAGCCCTTCAAACTGGCTAGTACTCTAACTATAGGTAATAATACTGATATAATCTTCCATAACAGAATCTTACAGAGTGGTGTAACTACTCTCATTCTTTCTTAGTTTAGTATAGAAAAAAACACTTACCGACCTGTGAGAATCTGGCCTACTATGTTGTGGTTAATTTTCTAAACAACATCTTGGCCATATCTCCTTAGCATCCAAACGTTATGCCTCAACAAATAAAAAAATAAAATTATATGTGTAACTTAGGGCAAAATCAAAGCATCAGTGAATAAGTAGTGACCAAATAGGGAGTGAGCAACTTTGGGGTGTAGAGGAGCAGCTCTCTGATTTCATGGCAGGAAAGGAGTGCCCATAGTCATTTTCCAGAAGCTCCTGTAAGCTTCTTGGGACCCCTAACTGAATATGAGATTGCCTCTTTATGCCCTAACTGGGCCATTGAAAATTACTGCCATGAGACAAAAGATTTTCCATAGTGACTGAACACAGCCATTTTCAAAGCTGCCCCCAGAAATTACTCTGGAGTTGGAGGAGGAAAGTAGAGGGAAACAGCATGTAGTCACAATACCTAGAGAGTGTGACATTCTCCTGCAAAACACTTTAACTTTGACCCTTACCTTGTAGTTTTCTCACTCCCAACATCCACTCTTCCCTCCTTCAATTCTATTTTCTGTCATCAGTTTATTTTTCTTAAAATGATGCATTCAGTCCACCTCTTTGGACTTTCCATAGTTGACCCTTGTTGTTGTTGTTATGTGCCGTCGAGTCTGACTCAACTCATAGCGGCCCCTCCTTGGGTTTCTGAGGCAGTATCACTACGGAAGTATATTGCTCCATCTTCTTTCCGAGGAGTGGCTGGTGGGTTTGAACCACCAGCCTCCCGGTTAGCAGTCAAGTGGTTTAAGCACTGTGCTACCAGAGCTCCTAGTTGACCCTTAGCTATAGTATAATATCCAAGCTCCTTGTTCCAAGGTTCTCAGTGGGCTGATGCAGCTTCCCTTTCTCAGTTCTTCTCTCCTATGTACACCATACATAGCATTGTCCCTACTTTGGACTCTTTTCCCTCCTTCCTATTATAGAGAAGAGTTTTTATTTCCTCCAGCTCTGGTGGCATAGTGCCTAAGGCATTTGACTGCTAACCATATGGTTGGCGGTTCAAACTCACCCCACTCCATGGAAGGACAACTGGGCAATCTACTTTAGTAAAGATTTACCACCTCAGAAACCCAAAGGGGTTGCTATGAGTTGGAATCGACTCAATGTTAGTGAGTTTGGTTTTGGTTTTAATACTACCCCTACTGCATTTCCTCAGGAATCACACTTTCATGTTACCTTCTCTTTTTTTAGCATTCTTTCTCCATGGGCTTTTTTTTTTTTAATTTTACATGAAATATATTTAGTTCTTTATTTATTAAAAATAAACTAATATCCTTTCATATCACTCAGCTACCTCTTTGATTCACTCTCTAATCATTTTTTCCCTCCTTTTGCTACTTTACTTGAATAGGCCTTTACCCTACTGCCCTGGCCTCTTTATGCATCTGTTAACTGCCTGTGGACTGATTTTCCCTTTACTAGACCTCTTCTTTCATAGGTTTCCAATCAGGCAAATTCTGTGACCTTGCCTCAGTTCTCATCTTTCTCAACATGTCTTCTTGATCTGTTTCTATTAACTACACTGTCTTTTTGAAGCATTTCTTCCTTTGTGGTCCATAGTGCTTAACTTTTTTCTTTCTTTTTAAAATATTTTTGACTGCCCCTTTACTTTTTGTCTGGTTTCCTTTCCTATTTTTCCATGATCTTCTCCCTGAGGCTTGATCTCTTGTCTGGAACCTTCAGATATACACTCATTTCAGCTGGAACCTGTTAAATTCTCTTTCTAATCCTGACACCCAACCTTTCCTCATTTCTTCCTCAGTTTCTCCTACTATTTTGTATCTCTGCTGCCACAACCCATGTCCAGGCCGCTGGCCACTCAAGTCTAAGTCACGACAGCAGCGTCCAAACTGTGTTTCTATACACTGCCATTGAGGAATATTCCATCCTGTCATTCCCTTGCTGAAATACCTCTGAGTGCAGCTTCATTTCTCTCTGACTCCCAATATGATACACTTGCTCTTTTCCACTTCATGCTTTTTCCTTGACTTAAATTTTCCCTTTCTCTAGCAGCTGAGCTGATGCAGCTTCAAGCCAACTAAATATCACCTCTTTTAGGCTGAACTTAAATTCTACCTCTTCCTTGCTTCCTGTTCTTGGTAGCCCAGCCCATACTGCTTTCTCCCTTTTCTCAACTCTTTCACCTGTGTCCGGCCCTAACTTATTGTGCATAGCCACTTGGAACTTCCACCTCTGCCTGATTAACATAAGAACTCTTCCCTCTCAGCTACCATGACCTACCTTCTCATTTCTACTCTGCTCTAGCCAGTCTTATCCTGACAGTAGTTGTAGTTCAAGGGGGGATTTCCTCCCTCTACCACCACTTCCCATGAAAAATTCAACTATAATCAAAAGTAGGCATGATGGTGTATTAGCTTCCATTACCCAGCTTCAGTATTTTTAAATTCATGACCAATGTCATTTGTTGATGCCTCACCGGTCCCACAGGATTATTATTATTATTTTTTTTATTTTTATTAGGATTTGGGTGAAGATTTACAGAGTAAATTCACTTTTCATACAGCAGTTCACATATACTTTGTCTCATGTCATTGACCAAAATTT